AAATCCCATAAAATCACCCATTCACGAGATTTAGTAAATTCAGGATTTATGGCCGAGATCCGTGAAATCCAAATTTATCAAATCTATTGCTTTATTTTGTCCAAAATGACCGTCTGATAAAATTTAGCCAACATTCAATGTAAATTCCGCTCTAAATCCATTACCAGATAGCCCCTAAAAGCTCGAAAAGTTGAAAAAAAAAAACTGTTAATTAATTAAAAGTGTTAAATTTATTTTAAAACAGTTTATATGCTACACATCTCAAAGCATATTAAACAGCTTTAAAACTAATTCTAACCATTACCACTTATCATACAACTGATTTAAATTTTCTCCAAATAAAATATAATCAATAATGATTGGGAGAAAAAAAACTAAAAAAATAATAATTCAGTACATACCAAAGCAATTTATTTTGTCAGAGAATTAAATAAATGCCTTCTGAATACACTCTTCTAATGATAAAATTCACCCTTCAAAAGGCAAACAATTCATACTTTGAATAATTACTAAATCCCCCCTAAATTACAGAGCTGTCAATGACTCCAAACCTTCTGCAACAAATTTATTTACATGTTTTAATCTTTTCAAATTTACTGAATTTGTAAATACATTTAATTGCAGTTTCTGCAACTTCAGCAACTCAATGTAAAAATCAACAGCCTCCCAAGTTTCCATCTTTTCAGCATCCAATATATCTGAAACAATTTATGTGCTTCAGATGAATTATACTGTATAAATGAAGAAGAGAATGTCACCTCTGTGTGCTTAAACTGATGAAAATGGCCAATCTTTTATGCACAGATGGCCTCAACCGAAAGCTTTTTCTTCGTTCCCGGGCACGGATCTCCTCCGAAAACTTCAGAATCAGCAACTACCGAGCAAGCTTGCTGTCCCAAACAGTTCTGCAACAATCCATCCTGTGTTAAATCAATAATCAAATTAGAAAATTTAATGAACAAGTTACATTTAGCACACAATTCTTACGCATTGACATATGCCACACCTAAACTTTCAAATTTAAATACACAGAAAGTCGTAATAGTGTTATTCGTGATGATGTGATATTAAAGATTTGAGTGTTAAATGTGTAAATATGAAAGTTTATGTGTAACATATGTGAATACATGAGAATTGTGTGCTATGTATGTAAGACTTATATGTGTAACATATGTAAATACATGAGAATTGTGTGCTATGTATGTAAGACTTCATGTTTCTAATGCAACATATGTATGATAACTTGAGATAACGTAGAAATTAGTACCTTTGTGAATGCATTATATGATTTCTGAGCATGGCAGCTTCCTTCTTCATAGCTTCCACATATTCCTTGCGGAGTACCAAAGCTGGCAAACCTTATGCTGCTCATTTTGTGCCCGGAGGGACACGATAGATGAGCTTTAGGCTTACTGTACTGCTTGTTTCGCCAATGATTAACCGTCAGTTGCCCTTCCATAACTTCGGCGCAGATGCTCCTTACCGTCCTTTTAACAAGCGAAATCTTGCTTGGATCGCCGCCCCATTCCTCGAACACGACCAACAAATTCCCCGTTGGTTTTAACCATGATCGAGGCAAATGATACCTAACATATTTGGTATCATTGATGTTATTCTTAAGTATGGAGTCAAAATTTTCTAAACTATCTTGAATAAGTTTTTTATTATCATTTTTAACATCAATGATTATTGAACTCAACATAGTTGATTTTTCACACTTACTACTGCATAATTCACATTCAGCCCTCAGTTTCATTACAAGTGATTGCATTTTCACTCCATCATTAGCACAAATAAAAAAATATTTTATCATTATTCATATAAATTGTATTCTCTCTATACATCTTCTTTAAAGCTTAGTAGAATATTTTATCTCTATACGACACGAATATATGTGAATCTCATCGAACCACATAAATGTGTCTCGTGTCTTAGGACTTTGATATATTTATTCTATCATCATAATTTGATTTTACACGAAGTTATATCAATATCCTAACATTTACTATCAAATTCAAATATATATTTAGATATGTAATATCTAAACATTGCTTTTTTACGTTTATACCTCTCAAATCTTCCATATCACAACAAGAGTAACATTATTTTAACTTAAAACAAATGAAGTACACAATTTCATGAATAAGGATGGCTATTCTTACCATCTCTGCGATGACTCCCCGCAATTACTTTGGCATTTCTTCTCATTATATGCGCCGCGATAATCACAAGAACCACACGAACCCGATGCTCTGTAAGCAGGCCAGTAACGACCAATACTCTTGCCGTTAATCCAAATCTGACCTTTTCCCATACTGCCCATATCTAATGCCAATGGCTCATCACCACCAGGAGCACTGAAGAAAGCCTGGAAGAAAGTAAACAAACTTCAGAAACTACATTTTGGAAAATTTACATAAAAAATTTACATACGTACACCACTCAATTCCTATGTATTTAACACCTAAAAACTTCAACTTTTACATATATATGATATGCCACCTTTCCTATACACGAAACTTTCTAAAAGTTAAAATCCTATTATTTTTTACATGATATGAAAGATTTGGAAGGTATAAATGTAAAAAAATAAAGTTTGTGTTGGATATGTAAATACATAGGGGAATTGGGTGGTATGTATGCAAATGCCCCTTTCATTTTTCATTTTCTTCAGTGTTAGCAATGGAAGCGAAACTGTAATATCTCTCACCTTGTACCAGGTCAAGGGTTGCTTAGAAAACACATCTCCCCATTCAACAGAGGAGCTTCCATCTAGTGAATGAAGACTCAGATGTTCGCCTTTCACACCAATCTGCCATTAACGAGCTCACAAAGCTTCAAAATTGATGGTGCTGAATGGAGTAGAGGAGTAAGAATAACCAACCTGGTAAGTCCACTGCTGATGAGATAGGTCTCGCCTTCCTTCCCGAAGACCGCTTAGGATCACCGGACCAAGAATCCCAGTATTCCAGGTTTCAAAATGAGGCCCAACGTTCTAAATTTTCAAATTATTTATTAACATAAACGTATCAGAGCTCTAAATAAATCAATAATGGAAAAGACATGATGAGAAAAGAACATACTGGCAGCCCAACAGCTACACTCAGTATAGAGATCTTATTTCTTCCGGCCCACATCTTTACTTTTCCGCTATAGGACAGCTTTGGATTGTTCAGACCGCCATAAGCATTCCCTGAAGCCAAAATGAAAGATGAGACGAATTAATTGCAGAAGAAATTCTCTTCAGCTTCAGAACCAGATTATGGAACAGTCATTTTGTAACGGCGTGAACTCTCATTCATTGAGATATTGTCCGCTTTGGCCTAATGGCCTCACGATTTTGTCTCATTGGTGTCACCCATCCGAACCCAAATAATTTTTTGAGTCGGGTGATGAATGCTAATCCGTTTAATTTTTTTGGGTCGGGTTTGGGTTGACCCGTTAACCCAAAATTAACCCATGATTACCCAAAATAAACTTAAATAGTTGTGATGTTCTATGTGAAAGGTTTCGGGTTCGTGGGTTGAAGGTAGGTAGGATTCAGGTTGGACTTGCTGACCCGTTTAATATTTAATTTAGGTTCGGATCAAATAGTTTTGAGTCCGGTCAATTTTGGGTTTGCCTACCCGCAATCCCGATTTAGCAACCCTAATCCCAAGACTCTTCCTATACAAGCACACTTAACTTAGAAGTTTCTCACAAAGTTTCAACCATTATGCCAAAAGGCACCTCGATGTTCAAGAGTTCGACTTTATTCTACTTAAGGGTTTCACACATTCTACCTGCATATTGCCCGTTGACAAAAACATGCAAAGCATGGCCGGCTGAAGAGACGGCGAGGATGGGATGATCTCCTGTCCTCAAGAACTGCTCATCTTGTCCTATGCTGACACTGAAACAGTAGGATTGGAAAAGTCAAGAATGGAGACTGAAGGTGAGAGCACGGATTATACAATGGAAAGGACTGATTATGGAGATTTCGCATTGGATACTCACTAAGTTGTATACCACAGATAGTCTGATTTATCCCATGTTTGACTAATTTGCTCATACAATCCATTTTTAGTGAAGGAACTATCATCAAGAGAATTGGTTTCTTCCCCATATGATTTCCATGAAAAGCTTTCCACTGCTTGCATGCTCACCAGTGAGGTCTGAGCTCCTACCTGTAATTTGACAGACGAAATGTGAGATAAAAGTACCAAAAAAAAAAAAAAAAAATCAATTTTTTAGCCTGTGGGTGACATCTTCAGGTAAATAAATGTTCAGAATCCCAATCAAACAATAGAAAAATCTTAAATTAGATGTGAAAAAACAAATTTTTACTTTTGCTGTATTGAAAACTGCGGTTTTACAGTCAGGTAGGATGCTGATGGACCAAGGAGGAAGATTATAGCGTATGCCATTGAAAGTTACTGTGGCAGAAGATTGTGAATCATAATTGGCCAGAAAAGCAGCACAAGTTCCTGAATTTGACCTGAATACATGAGACTAAAAAAAAAAATGTTTTTTTAAGTTGGCTAAAGTCTCAACTTGTAAAAAAATTAAAAAAAAAATCTAATTTTGATAATTCATGTGTTAAGTTTAACATTAAACCTGTTGAGAATGTCCCAAAGATGAGACGACAGGATCACCAGAAACCAAAGCCGCTTCACTTAACTTAATTGCTCTATGTAGGTCTCTAAGATGTCCCCATTTTGGTTCCCTTAACATACCTGATTCAGAGAAAAGTTTGCTAAGATATAACAAAATTCTGATTTGATGAAATTATTTGAAAAATTCATGCATAAATCATATATTTTATTCAACAAGAAAGAATTTTTAATAACGAGTAAAATTGGTAATGTAAATTTAGATAATAAAAAAGCCATCTTTTTAAACAAAATCATGATAAAGTTTTTCAATAGGAAAAGTATACATCAAGAGGGCCTATTTCATTGTCATACATTTATTTTCAAGTGGACATAGAATAAATAAAATAGAAAGATTACATTTTTTACTATTTTTTGATAAATAACCAATGCAAATGCATAATTATAAAAATAGAAGATAAGGACAATTAATATATATACCATATTCATCTATTGGAGCATCATAGTCATAACTAGTCGCAATAAATGGACCGCCGGCAGTGCGGCCAAAGTTTGTTCCTCCATGATACTGAAAAAGTCAAATTTTTTTAATAAATTAAGCAAAAAATTTCTCATAAAAATCAAATTAAGGCATATATAAACACAACCTTCTTACCATATAATAATTAATAAAGGAACCACCTTTCTGAATAAACCTTGCAACAGCAAAGGCAATATCTTCAGCCGGTCGGTGAGGAACTGGACCCCCAAAAGCTGTGTACCTATAGAGAAGAAAATCTGCAAATTTTTACATAGAAAGATTTGCATACATACCACTCAATTCCTATGTATTTGTGTATCAACAGCCACACTTCAATTTTATGTAACTACGCATGAAAAAGGTGCATTTCAATTTTTGAAAGTTAAAATGGTGGAATTTTGGATGTGATATGAAAGATTTAGGTGGTATAAATGTAAAAATATAAAGTTTAGGTGCTAGAGATCTAAATACATAAGATTTGGGTGGTATGTATGACATTAACTAGACGGCCAAGAAAATTTTTACCATCCAGTCCAAGCCTCGGTCCACATTGTGGGTTTGTAAGGTTTGTTTGGAGAGAAATAGTCACAGTAGAAACCATTGCAGGTGTTAATCTGCAAAGCCAAGTTCCAATCATATGTGATTAAAAACGTCAAATTAAAATAACAAAATACAACACTGCAATCATAATTCCATCACTTAATAGAAAATAAAAATCAAAACATAAAAACACAATATAAGTTCACTCAATTGAAATTTATGTGAGTTCACTCAATTGATGGCTACATTTTGTTGCCGTGACTGTGGAGTTCGCTATGATTTTATTGTAAGAGAATTAAAGCTCTAATTTTTTTGCACATACCGCCCAACTCTTTGTTAGGAAAAACTACTGTGAAAGAGTCTCCTTTTAATTTCTCCACAGAATAAGATCACAAGATTCAAGAAAACCGAAACAAAAATTTAAACGCATAACACAATTAAAGCAACCAAAAAAACACACAATAATTTCACGTGAAAAAATCAGAGAACGGGAAAAAAACCACGGAGTCGCACACCATAAATTCTACTATGAAATTCAAAATGTTTTATAAGGGACTCACACAAATTTCTTCTCCACACTCACAAGAAGAAACTTACAGGACTTGCACCACCAATCTTCCCACTCCGATCCAAAGCAAAAAAACACACAGAATCACCTAAATCCCACCTCTTCAAGACTCCACACTTTCATGGGGATGCTTGTCAAAGAATTTAGAAAGAAAAAAACAGCAAGCTCACCAATCCACGCTAAAAAACTGGCTTAAAAACCAATTTTCATGTAGTAACTGCATCGGATGCTTAGGCACCTAAGCACCAAGAGCTCTATATCAGCGCCCCATAATGGGCACCTATGCGTTGGTTTCTCGGGAATAAGAGCAGCGTCCGCTCAATAGAGGGAGCATATGCACCCAAATCCGGAGCCTAGGCGTCGGCTCCTCTATTCGAGCAGCACCTAAGTGGCGCTTAAGCACCTACAACTCGAAGCAAGTGTGTCTGGTGCCTTGTGCTTAGGCTCCATAGCCCAACAATTTCTTACGTATTTATATGTCTAACATCTAAATCTTATCTTTTACACGCATTTATACCACCCATTTCTTTCATATCACATAAAAAATACTACCAATAAAAAGTTAAATACATCTTTTCACGCATATTTAAGGTGGCTTGTATGTAAAAACTAAACTATGGGTGTTAGATATGTAAATACATAAGAATTGAGTGACATGTATGCATATCTTCCAAAAAAGTAATTGTGAAATCTTCAAAACACCCTCCATGAAACGTCTCTCAAACACTGAATATTTGTGACTTAACAACCATTGCAAGTGTTAACGTTGTGAAGCCAAGCGCCAATCAAAGGTTAATAAAATAAGAAAGGAAGACTCACATACATACCACTCAATTCCTATATATTTATATATCTAACCCCTCAACATTAATTTTTTACACACATGCCACCTTATCGATGCATGAAAAAGGTGTAATTCACATTTTAAAAGTTAAAATGGTGGTACCTTTTAAGGATTTAGGTGATATAAATAAAAAAAATTAAAATTTAGGAGTTAGATATGTAGATTCATAGCAATTTGGTGGTATAAATATAAATGCCCCAACAACAAAATGAATACAATAAATGCAACACTGCAACCTAATTGCCCAGAAACAAGAGGATGGGGAATAACATCCACGAATAGTCCTATTCCTTTATTTGGTTATCAACACTTCAATCTCAGATCATATAGAATAAATAGAAGGATATACATATACCACCAATCTTTTCTGTATTTACATATCTAACACCCGAACTTTAATTTTATTTACATTTATACCGCCCAACTTATGCATGAAAAGGTGTGTTTGACCTTTTGAAAGTTAAAAGTGGAATTTTTTTATGCCATATGAAAGATTTGGGCTGTAGAAATGTTAAAATTAAAGTTCAGGGGTTAGATATATAAATTCATAGGAATTGGGAGATATGTATGTAAATGTCCATATTGAATAAATTCTGCCAAATGAACTCATAGCCACAATGAAAGGAATTGGAGAATGGTGATGATAAAAGCAAAGAAGTACAGTAAAAAAAGAAATTCATATATAAGCCATGTGCAGTAGGGCCTAAGATCCAATTTGTTCTTAAGTCTTTACACTATCTCACACCTAAACTTTCATATTTACATATATAGCCCTCAAATCTTTAGTATCACATCATAAGAATGAAATAAACAGTTTCATGCATAGTTTTAAAGCACCAAAATGTCATTGATGTAAATATGAAAGTTTACATGTGGGATATGTAAATACATAAGAATTGTGTGCTAGGTATGTAATTTTTTCCCAAAGAAGGAATGGAAGAACAAAGGGGAAGCAAACATTACATACAACTGGATCAGGAGCATCGTCTTGCTTGCACATCACCCATGGAACACCGGTCTTCAAGCCGACGGCCATGTTCGCGGCCCAGTTGGCATAAGACTTCGCCGGAGCTCCACCGTTATACTCTAATGGCCCAAACTCATTCTCGATCTGGAACAATGATGGAACGAGAAAATTATGGAATGAATTAGATTATTCTAAGCTGATAAATTCATGAATCATGTAATATATATAACCAAAAGTGGAATTTTGGAAAACCTGAGAGAGAATTATAGGCCCGCCCTGAGATTCAAAGAGCCCTTCAGCTTTCATCATGGACACTATCTTCTCAGTAAATTTTTGCATGGCAGCCTTTAAGAAAAAAAATAGAATTACATCTTTAGCAGAAAGATCATAAATTTATGGAATTACAGAAATTAAAACATGTGAAAATTTGAGAAAATATTGACCTTGAAAGGCCCATTGTCAGTTCTAAAACTGATACCGGGAACATATTTCAACCAAACAGGAAATCCACTGCAGAAATAAAAAACCAGGAAATCAGAAGAGAATCAAGCCAATCCAAATATTTAATCCATCTTTATCATAAAAATGAAAACTTTACCCAAAATTCCACTCGGCACAAACATAGGGACCAATGCGGAGATGAACATAAAGACCGGCCTGCTTCACCAGCTTGATAAACCGAACAAGATCATACCTTTCCCCAAAGTAGTACTAAAATCAATTTACAGAAACCAAAACTCAGCAAAAATCTATCAAAACCAAGCAATAGAACACATATCTCTGATGGTGAATACCTGACCAGGAGAAGGCTCATGGCCGTTCCAGAACACATATGTCTGAATCACATCCAAGCCTCCATTTTTCGCCTTCTGGATAAGATCCGGCCACATCTGCAAACAAACCAAGTTATCCAAACCAAACAAAGAGAAAAAAGAAGCAACCAAGAAGCCACATTTCGCAGTAAAATGCTGAGCTCACCTCCGGTGTGCTCCTCGGGTAGTGAATGGAGCCGGAGATTAGAATCCGTCGCCGGCCGTCAATGATGACGGCTTTATGGTCGTAGGTTACAGAGGCGGCCGCCGGAGTTAGAAGACAGGGTGGAAGGAGAGTAAACGCCGCCAGCAGGAGAACAAACGCTGTGAATGGCTTCGAGGCCATGAAGGCGAGTGGAGAGAAAAGTAGGGGATGGGGAAGAAAGAGAGGAGAGCTCGGATGCTCTGTTCTATAAAACGGTGATTTTAAGTTCAAAGTTTAGTTTTTTTTCACTTTATTTTCTCTCTTTTGCTTCTATCTGCTCTGCCATTTGTTTATTCTCAGCGTTTTCTTCTTTACGCGGAGATAAGCTGCTCTTCTGCTGCTAATAGTGGCAGTAATTATAAAGCAAGGGAAGAATTAGAGAGAGTAACTGGAAGACGAGTTAGGCTAGGGAGAGGAGAGGAAATGGGTAAAGGATTCTTGTGAGGAGGGGAGAAGCTTATAAAAGATTGGGGGAACGAAGAGATGAGATGGGCCCACTTGTGATGGACGGACCACTTGTTGAGTGGCTGCCGAAACGGCCTGTTATTCGCCCAAATAAATTTTTCGTCGAGTTTTGACTTCAAATAAATGTATGTATGTATGTATGTACATACATGCATATATCATACATACATATATATATATATATATATATACACACACATACATACATACATAAGGTCATAAGTCTCCTTAAATTATGGGTTCGAAACCCCCCGTGTGTAGTATGGTTGTGGCTGGTCTACTAGCCACCCATATTTCTTTTATAAAAAAATTAATTAATTAATTAATTATATTATACTTATATATATAATTGATAAGTAATCTTTTTAAGTAATTTAATGTACTACAAGGCTAAATGGATTTAAAATTAATTAAAATTATTAATTAAAAATAGAATAAGTATATATTAAATTTTATTTAAATAAGTATTTTAATTTAAATAAGATTTAAATCTCGATCATATCCTTAATATTCTATGGTTGTGTGATTAGGACCATCAAAACACTCTTTTGCTCGCGAACAACACTTGTTCAGCTCGCTAAATAAATAAGCCGAACACGAAAAATTTTTGAGAGCTCAATCTATAAATGAGTCCAACACGAATAGTAGTATTTTTTAACGAGTCAAACACGAATTGAGCCTATGCTCGCTCAAACTCGACTCATTTACACCATAATTGAGTATGATCTGTCATATGTTTTTCTTTCTTTTTTTAATTAAAAATAAAATAGAAATGCTATGTGTATGGCAAAGATTAAATCTATAAATTTATATTTAATCTGTCAAAATATTAGCGCAGAATATTTTTAATTTAAAAATTTTAAATGCATAATTTTTTTAAAATAAATATTTTTAAAAAATATTAATTTTTTTCACTAATTAAGCTCGCAAATCTTTTTCGCTTGTTTTAATTTTATGGTAAGAAAATTGATTTAAATGTTAAATAAATGAAATTTATATGTCAAGATTATTTTTTAATAAAAAATAATTGGTTTGGAAAATAATATATAAATTGAAGTACATGTTCTCCTTTTTTTAGGAAATATTTTAAATTATTAAAAGAAATTAAAATAAGAAGCGGATCAGAGAGAATGTCTTGAAATAAAATATTTAATCGATTTCAAATTTAGTTTATTTAGTATTAAATAAATCCTCAATATAATTTTTAAGGGTTCGTAGCTTAGCCAATTTATATATTTATTCAATTATTAATTTTGTTTGCAGGAAAATTTGAGGCATTAGAATGATAATTTATCATCTTAGTGTTGCACGAACATCTAACATACACAAAGATGATAGAAAAATTGGAGGAGACGGTAGTATTGTTTACGCGAAAAAATTCTGAAGAGAAAAAAAATCATGAGGCATATACCTATCAAAGTAATCCGCTCGGTTTTATAAATACATAGGTACGATCTTCTCATGAATTAGGAAGAATGAATTGCAATGTTGGTATTAAAAATGTACAAGCTAGAGCTGGCTCATAAGTCAACTTTGCTCACTTACATCTTGTATTGTCCATTATGTATGTATGTATATTTCATATTAATTATTTTTTAAATAAGTTGGCTTAAGAGCTCATGAGTTGAGTCGGGGCTGGCCAACATTGATTGTTAGCTCATCGAGCTCAATTGAAGAGCCACTTAATTGTGCTAGAGCTGGCTCATAAGTCAACTTTGCTCACTTACATCTTGTATTGTCCATTATGTATGTATGTATATTTCATATTAATTTTTTTTTAAATAAGTTGGCTCAAGAGCTCATGAGTTGAGTCGGGGTTGGCTTCAGCATTGATTGTTAGCTCATCGAGCTCAATTGAGGAGCCACTTAATTGTGCTGGAGCTGGCTCATGAGTCAACTTTGCTCACTTACATCTTGTATTGTCCATTATGTATGTATGTATATTTCATATTAATTTTTTTTTAAATAAGTTGGCTCAAGAGCTCATGAGTTGAGTCGGGGTTGGCTTCAGCATTGATTGTTAGCTCATCGAGCTCAATTGAGGAGCCACTTAATTGTGCTGGAGCTGGCTCATGAGTCAACTTTGCTCACTTACATCTTGTATTGTCCATTATGTATGTATGTATATTTCATATTAATTATTTTTTAAATAAGTTGGCTTAAGAGCTCATGAGTTGAGTCGGGGCTGGCCAACATTGATTGTTAGCTCATCGAGCTCAATTGAAGAGCCACTTAATTGTGCTAGAGCTGGCTCATAAGTCAACTTTGCTCACTTACATCTTGTATTGTCCATTATGTATGTATGTATATTTCATATTAATTATTTTTTAAATAAGTTGGCTTAAGAGCTCATGAGTTGAGTCGGGGCTGGCCAACATTGATTGTTAGCTCATCGAGCTCAATTGAAGAGCCACTTAATTGTGCTAGAGCTGGCTCATAAGTCAACTTTGCTCACTTACATCTTGTATTGTCCATTATGTATGTATGTATATTTCATATTAATTTTTTTTTAAATAAGTTGGCTCAAGAGCTCATGAGTTGAGTCGGGGTTGGCTTCAGCATTGATTGTTAGCTCATCGAGCTCAATTGAGGAGCCACTTAATTGTGCTGGAGCTGGCTCATGAGTCAACTTTGCTCACTTACATCTTGTATTGTCCATTATGTATGTATGTATATTTCATATTAATTTTTTTTTAAATAAGTTGGCTCAAGAGCTCATGAGTTGAGTCGGGGTTGGCTTCAGCATTGATTGTTAGCTCATCGAGCTCAATTGAGGAGCCACTTAATTGTGCTGGAGCTGGCTCATGAGTCAACTTTGCTCACTTACATCTTGTATTGTCCATTATGTATGTATGTATATTTCATATTAATTATTTTTTAAATAAGTTGGCTTAAGAGCTCATGAGTTGAGTCGGGGCTGGCCAACATTGATTGTTAGCTCATCGAGCTCAATTGAAGAGCCACTTAATTGTGCTAGAGCTGGCTCATAAGTCAACTTTGCTCACTTACATCTTGTATTGTCCATTATGTATGTATGTATATTTCATATTAATTATTTTTTAAATAAGTTGGCTTAAGAGCTCATGAGTTGAGTCGGGGCTGGCCAACATTGATTGTTAGCTCATCGAGCTCAATTGAAGAGCCACTTAATTGTGCTAGAGCTGGCTCATAAGTCAACTTTGCTCACTTACATCTTGTATTGTCCATTATGTATGTATGTATATTTCATATTAATTTTTTTTTAAATAAGTTGGCTCAAGAGCTCATGAGTTGAGTCGGGGTTGGCTTCAGCATTGATTGTTAGCTCATCGAGCTCAATTGAGGAGCCACTTAATTGTGCTGGAGCTGGCTCATGAGTCAACTTTGCTCACTTACATCTTGTATTGTCCATTATGTATGTATGTATATTTCATATTAATTTTTTTTTAAATAAGTTGGCTCAAGAGCTCATGAGTTGAGTCGGGGTTGGCTTCAGCATTGATTGTTAGCTCATCGAGCTCAATTGAGGAGCCACTTAATTGTGCTGGAGCTGGCTCATGAGTCAACTTTGCTCACTTACATCTTGTATTGTCCATTATGTATGTATGTATATTTCATATTAATTATTTTTTAAATAAGTTGGCTTAAGAGCTCATGAGTTGAGTCGGGGCTGGCCAACATTGATTGTTAGCTCATCGAGCTCAATTGAAGAGCCACTTAATTGTGCTAGAGCTGGCTCATAAGTCAACTTTGCTCACTTACATCTTGTATTGTCCATTATGTATGTATGTATATTTCATATTAATTATTTTTTAAATAAGTTGGCTTAAGAGCTCATGAGTTGAGTCGGGGCTGGCCAACATTGATTGTTAGCTCATCGAGCTCAATTGAAGAGCCACTTAATTGTGCTAGAGCTGGCTCATAAGTCAACTTTGCTCACTTACATCTTGTATTGTCCATTATGTATGTATGTATATTTCATATTAATTTTTTTTTAAATAAGTTGGCTCAAGAGCTCATGAGTTGAGTCGGGGTTGGCTTCAGCATTGATTGTTAGCTCATCGAGCTCAATTGAGGAGCCACTTAATTGTGCTGGAGCTGGCTCATGAGTCAACTTTGCTCACTTACATCTTGTATTGTCCATTATGTATGTATGTATATTTCATATTAATTTTTTTTTAAATAAGTTGGCTCAAGAGCTCATGAGTTGAGTCGGGGTTGGCTTCAGCATTGATTGTTAGCTCATCGAGCTCAATTGAGGAGCCACTTAATTGTGCTGGAGCTGGCTCATGAGTCAACTTTGCTCACTTACATCTTGTATTGTCCATTATGTATGTATGTATATTTCATATTAATTATTTTTTAAATAAGTTGGCTTAAGAGCTCATGAGTTGAGTCGGGGCTGGCCAACATTGATTGTTAGCTCATCGAGCTCAATTGAAGAGCCACTTAATTGTGCTAGAGCTGGCTCATAAGTCAACTTTGCTCACTTACATCTTGTATTGTCCATTATGTATGTATGTATATTTCATATTAATTATTTTTTAAATAAGTTGGCTTAAGAGCTCATGAGTTGAGTCGGGGCTGGCCAACATTGATTGTTAGCTCATCGAGCTCAATTGAAGAGCCACTTAATTGTGCTAGAGCTGGCTCATAAGTCAACTTTGCTCACTTACATCTTGTATTGTCCATTATGTATGTATGTATATTTCATATTAATTTTTTTTTAAATAAGTTGGCTCAAGAGCTCATGAGTTGAGTCGGGGTTGGCTTCAGCATTGATTGTTAGCTCATCGAGCTCAATTGAGGAGCCACTTAATTGTGCTGGAGCTGGCTCATGAGTCAACTTTGCTCACTTACATCTTGTATTGTCCATTATGTATGTATGTATATTTCATATTAATTTTTTTTTAAATAAGTTGGCTCAAGAGCTCATGAGTTGAGTCGGGGTTGGCTTCAGCATTGATT